GGTTTCCTTCGGGTAGTTACCTAAGATTCTCTTCGCGTATGGATATATTGAATTTCTACTCTGCCTTCCTTCTGACTTCGACTATGGGTGTCATCACTTCATGATGGATGACTAGAATCTCGGAAGTTTAGGCGAATCTCTTCACTGGTGTCCCTAAAAGATATAGGCACTTGGTGAATTCAATAGTCTCGCCCTAGTTCATTTATTTTCAAACTGGAAATCTTGTCAATGAACTTCTTCAGGGTCAGAATCAACTCTTCTGTTATGCACTGAAGTGGGTAGGGTTTTCTAAAGGGTTCGTGCAAGAATGGAAATGTCTAAGGAATCCTAAGAGATTATTAACATTTCACTGTGTGATCCATATCGAGTCCTGCGACGATTACACAGGGTGTAAAAATCATATATAGCTTAGATCCGATAAGCGTTCGAATATGTGATACTACTCTAGAACCACATCCCAACGAGGAAAAGGTAATAGAGCGAAACCACACATTCTTAGCCTGTGGGGTCCTTATTATATATAACCTTGGGAGTATACCCTCTGTAGTTGTAGGTATATCAATAGGGATCCTTTTAGTTATTCACGCAAGGTTGGTTATGATTCCTAAAATACCCCTATGGTATTTTAATTCTTGTTTGTTTTCTTATCTTCTGAATAGGAATTCTGGGATTAGTGTGGACCTTTTAGCGTTCTAAAATACTCTTATAGTATTTTAACTTTATGTTTGGCTCTAACAATCCTAGTTGGTAAGTTTCAGACCTGTTGCACACCACCATCACTCCCGAGCACACATTCATCATACCTCGAATAAATGTAGTTGATCAAGTTACATTTATTCCAGCTTACGATTACATAACTGCCCAATATTGACTATAGGGTTCAACATCCGGAGACTTTTATTATTGTTCTTCCTGTGATACTTTTGTTCAAGTGCTTAGATTCTGGATGTTATTATACTTTGGTAAAATATGGTTATATTTTAAAGTATAGTTCTTGGTCAGAGTGTTTTATCCCTTTTTGTATTTATAGGATGTATATCTTTTATGAATTGATATACTTAGCTCACTATAAACAATGCTCTGATACCAATCTGTCACACCCCAAAACCGGAACGGCGGAAACGTTCTGGGGTGGATGACGTCATGCCAAGTATCACAACACATGCATTATAGTAATCAAAGTACAACAAAACATTGCATTAATAGTAATAGTTTTGCAAGGTTACATTACAATAATTTAAATTAATACAAGTAATAGAATAAATACAGCGTGGTACTAAGCTATCTTCATCAACAGCTCCGGGGATATACCTGTCTAATGCTAACCTGAGAATACAAGTTAATTGAAAAGCGAGTATTAGCATTTTTACAAATGCTGGTGAGTTCATAAGCATTTAGTGACATTTCATTCAAATAACTTACGAAAGTAATAGTTTAAGAGATTTCAGTGTATTAGAGTCCTTTCCAGAAAATCCTATATTTTATTTAATAAAAGCAGCCTTCTACCAAGACTGGTCAGTGATGTGGGGTGAAAAGTAGTCTTCTCTAAATTGCTATCATTATCAAAATACTGAATTTGATTATAGAGGAAAGCAACGACGTCAGGGAATATCATGTACCTCAGCAGTGAGGACTGCTGATTAAGGCAAAGAAACATAGACTCCAAGAAAGTATCAAACAAACGACACGCCTGGTTGAGTCTAACAAGTGGAAACACAGATCCCAGAAGGTACCAAATAAAGGGTACAACTAGTAGGGTCTAAACAGTGAATACAGATCGCAGACAATATCAAATGAAAGATACGTCTAGCAAGGTCTAGAACGGTGAACACAGTGAATACCGTGAATACAGTGGATTCTGTGAATACAGTGGATACAGACCCCAGACAACATCAAATGAAAGATATGTCATGTAAGGTCAAAACAGAGATAACAGATACGTCATGTAAGGTCAAAACAGAGATAACAGACCCCAGACAGTACCAAATGAAAGATACGTCATGTAAGGTCAAAACAATGTGACTCTAAAAATGAATTACCAGCATACAGTGTAGATTGCCGGTGAGATACCGTTACCTTAAGGCCAAAGAATTATAAGTTAACCCAGGATACTCATAACCATACTAACTGACACTAGAGAACCAGACGCCCTACGAGCGTCTTGTGAATGTGACATTTGTCACCCCCTTGGCTTGGTGTGCCGTGGACTGTAGCTAGCAGTCAGGGTGCAGGGGTGTCAATCCCGTATAGATCTATACACACAATGTCCGCTCTCCCTACAGGAGACTCTGGTTACCAACTAGACAACGGAGAAGGCCGTGTCCTGAAGATGCATCCCAAATACTGGGTAGAGACTTCCAAATAGTGGGTAGTGCGTAAGTGTTGAACTAGAGGTAGAGACTTCCCAATAGTGGGTTTCTAATGTAAGTGTAGACTACATGTAGATACTCTTAACGGAACTGACTAAAGAATTTCCCATATGTTCATTCTCATATACATAATATATAACTAATGAGTCAAACGACCTTTGGAAGGCCATCTGATCCCACCAGACCACATCTCAACGAAGAAAAGGAAATAGGGCAGACGAGTCTTCCTAAGTCTTTTAAATCATTACTTATATGTACCTATATAAGCACGGACATACATCTAACTACGACTGAGTGTGTTTCAAGTAGAAGTGATCCTTGTGAAGTAGAAGTGTCTAACAAGTGAAGTAGAAGCGGTCGCAAGTGAAGTAGAAGTGTCGAACAAGTATAAGTGTATCACGAAGTAGAGGCGACAATAAGTGAAGCAAAAGCGTATCAAGTATAAGTGAAGTAGAGTCGTTATCAAGTATAAGTGAAGAACAATCGTATCACTAAGTAAGAGCGTGAATAAGTATAAGCGTCATCAGGTATATGCGACTACAAGTATAAGTGAAAGCGTTACCGAGTAGGGGTATAAATTAAGTATAAGCGAAGCAGCAGTATTTAACAAGTAAAAGTATACATCAAAGAGGGAAATTTTTAATGAAAAGCCTTTATGTACAGAGAAAATCACAAATTGTATTCTTTTGTAAAATATGTTTAAAAATCTTAGAGGAACTTTCATAAACCAATTTAGAATGAATTTGGATAAATCAGTATAAGTAGAAGTTATGAAATAAGTAAAAGTCATTATAGTGTCCCACTCGGTAAAATAGTGTAAAGTGGTAAAATCTTGTGCATGCAGGTTATCAATCACATGTGATTGACATGATAACTGGCATGTTTAACTTGTATTCCCCCCTATAAAACATTTAAAAACATTAAAAACGTTCATTCAGGGGTATGAACTCACCTGGTGTATGTAGGTCCGACGAAGGTGTCGGTTGGACGTTCGGTGTCATGCAAGGACTTGAACACACACAATGACCTATTTTAACATAAGGTAACATATGTTTACATGCAATTAGCACATTTAATACTAATTAAACAAATATACGCGCTCACAAGAGCGGAAAACACTTTGGCTAAGTGTTTGGGTGTCCAGGGTAGCGTTTAAGGGTGTGTATGGCTAAGGAATTAAGTTTACCCTCCAAGAATAAACCCTTATCAACTAGTTTACGGCCCAGGGACATCTCACCATGAGTTTACGGCCGTAAACTCATGGTGATGGGTTCTAGGGTGTTTAAGGCTTCTTTTTGCATCATAGACTTATTCTAAGCATTTTTCCTCAAAGGCATGAGTGGATTCAAGGCTCCTAAGGGCTCTATATGGGAATTTACAGCCTAGGGACACTCCAAAGGGATTTTACGGCTGTCAACTCTCACCCTTAGAGTTTTGGAAAGTTTCAAGCCCCTAATGCCTTTCTAGTGATTTCTAATGAAGTGTGATGCTATTTTGGAGGATTACATCTATCATTTGAATGAGTTTTGGGGAGTTTACGGCCTAGACACTTGCTTGGGTCATAAAGTCCTTTTAATCCCTCCATTTCTTGTGTTTAAGCCCTTAAATCCTTCCTAGTATTTTATGGTAAATGTCTAAGGCCATTTGGGGAAGCAAAACCACACTTTGGGCATGATTTAGGGTGTTTACGGCCTTAGCATAGACATGGGCCGTAAACTCCTTTTTATCCTTCATTTGATGTGTTTAGGTGATCTAAACTCAAAGGAATAAGCCCTTAATTTATGTGTTAAGCCCTAGTGTGGTTTGGGAGTGTTTTGGGGACATTTAGACAAGGTTTTGAGGGATTAACGGCCTAAGCAAGTGCTTGGGCCGTAAACTCTCTTTTATGCCCTCAATCTTTGTGTTTTGATGTTTAAACACTCCTAGGCTAGATCCCTAATTAGTTTCCAAGCTTAAGGGCAAGTTTAAAGGCATGTTTGGCACCATTTTAGGGGTTTACGGCCCTAGAGTGTTCCTGGGCCGTAAACTTCTTATTCCATGCCTTCTTGGATGGTTTTTGGGCTATAATTACAGCTAGTAATGTTTAGAACAAACTAGGGTAAGCGGACTTACAATTTGGAAGCGTTTGGTTGCGGTTTCGGGGTGAAAACGGGTCTAGAGACAGAGTATAGAGAGAGAGTGTAAAAAGTCTCCAATAGACTCCACTCACCCTTATATAGGGTTTTGAGTCGGGGCTCAGTGGGATTTTACCCGATACTGCTGTTAAACGGGGCTTTTGGTCGCATCCGATTTAGTGGTCGTAATAATAAAACTTGACATTTTCCAAATAAATGGAAATGTGTGTCCTGTGTTTTTATTTCCTTTTATCACGACTTAACGACTTGCTTATTGCAACCAAATGGACTGTTTACTAAGTGGAATATTCTGTTAATGGTAACGGGGAAATGTAACGGGACAACTTGGGTTGTCACAACCCCTCCTATCACTACTGCTACCACTAGACTCACAACCACCAAGATGTTTCCAACAGGTCCGAGTTCAGCATTTACTGTTGGTGGTCCCTTTACGCGGCCTGATTTCTGAGTTCCAAGATATAATCAGGATGCTGCTTCTGAAAGGTTGTCGTTGCACATGGCTGAAGAACAACTTCTATCGCCAGACCCTCAAGGAAAAGGTGTTGCCATTGAAGAAGGTGGTGCTGGGGATGACAATCTCACTCTTTCTGGTTTGCAAAAGGAGATTTCAGTTCTAAGCCAGAAGAATACTGAGTTAGATATTCAGGTTACGGAACTTCGTGCTGAGAATGTCAATCTCAGGATTCAGGTCTCTAAGTTGTAATCAGATAAATCTAATTTTAGAGTACAAGTGGTTGAGCTCAAAAAGGATAAAAAGTTGAAGACTAAGCAGATTTCCGACTTGCAAGATCATTTCAATCTGCTAACTTCATGCTACTTTGAACTGAAGAAGAAACTTGAAGTAGACCTTGGAGACAAATATCAAACGTATGTTGAAGAACAAAGGATCAATCTTCACGTGCAAGCTTTCCTAGTTGACCTACCAGTCGGTCAGTCTTCTGGTACTGTTAATCGTAGGGTTGATGAATCTCCTTTGGCTCCACATATTACAGAAATCATTCATCGTGGTCAAGAAGAATAAGTGAAGAAAGGTCAGTTGTTGTTCAAGAGGAACACTAATATGAATCCTTCTTGGGGCGAACAGTTAATCACAGTTACTGATCTTGAAGTGGTTCGGTTCCGAGATACGTTTGGAGACAGATCGAGAGTTGCTTCTTGGGGATTCCATGAACCCCTTAAGATGTGGATAGTCATTTGCAAGAGCGGTAATTCTTAGTTGTACAAGAATAGCCATGATTTTAGCTCGTTCACGAGGATTGATTTAGCAGAGCTGTCTCAAGCTACCTTCATCAATTTAATGAATAATCCACAAGCTACTCAATTCAAGAACTTCCTTGATGATCAAGTTAAAAAGGGGTTTCCTTCCATACCCACTGCAGAATCTATCATATTTGAACATTCAAATGTTTTGGAACCATCCGTTGACAAGCCGTTGCAGATAGTGATGTGGCCCGCAACGAAACAAGTTAAGCAGTTTCTGGTGCTTCAAGGATTTTCAGATGGGTCTCTTAGTTCATTAGAGTGTTGGGTTTTTGATGAAACTACTTCTGGTGCCGTCATTAAGCTTAAAGATGGGTGTATCAGGCTCTATGATCGCAGAGACTTGTTATAGTTCAGGAAGTGGGATATTCACTATCTCAACAACTTTCAGATTAAGGTTGTTGAAGACATATATGAAGAAGATGCTAAAGTGTACACGATAATGGTGGCTGAAATTTTGAACAAGCGTATGTGGAACAGAGCCATGGGACAAATGGACGTTATGATTGTCAACAATGGGTGACCTTAGGCTAGTCCAAACCAAGGGGGAGATTGAAGGGCCTTGATAATGGTTTGGTCTAAGTATAAGAGTCAGTGATAGGGGTGTGTGTATGAATCACGTTTTTGTTCATGTTTGTGGTTGTAATAGAGTTTACGGCCGTAAACTCCTCACGGTCCTAAGGTTTATATATATAGATTTGTGTCAGATGTTTTAGGTTGTTGATGCCTTTCGTATTTTCCAGTTCCACCAAGTTGTATCTGACGTTTTAAGGCTATAAAGCTTATGCATGCTTCGTTTTTTATTTCTTTTGATCATTGGTAGATCCGATTTTGGACTTTACAAACAATCAAATACTTCCTCCGCCTCAATTTCACTGATATTGTCAGAATCATCATCAATATCAACAAAATTGTGTTGAGAGTCAGAAGCAGAATTCTTAGTCTTTTTCAAGATTTTTATTTATTCGTTTGTTGAGAAAAAAACTTGAATAAACATTAGTAATGATATAATATGTTGCGGAATTAAGGTTAATTTCAGTGGATCTTGTTAGCTCTACAATAATAATAGTTAGATTGTGTAAATGTAAGGAAAATAAAAGCAGCAAGTTTATATCAATAAGTAGTAAACAAGTAGATACAAGGTTGAATTGTAAGAAGGTTTGCATGCAAACACAAGTTAGTATATGATGAAACACACAAGTGAAGAGGGACTCTGTTGAAGTATCAATTAAGATAACTTAAGATATTGATATGATTAATCTGATATTGATAAAATTTCAGTGATCGATTGATACTTGGTAAATTGGTAAGAAATACATGAAGTGAGAGGCTCTATTTATAGAGTCCCAAAAGTTACACCAAATATTAAAATAACATAAAAGGACTGACTACAATAACCATGAAAGGCACACCGAATATTACTCGGAATACAAGCAATGTCAGTAAAGTATGTTAAACTCTCTTCATGTATACTTCCACTCTGCAGGTCACAAAAGACAAAAACAAAAAAAAATAAAAAAATAAAATAAAATAAAACATTATCTGGTAGGATCTTCTCTACGGTATCATCAAGTGAAAAGGTGTGCGGTTCCTTTTACCTGAAGAGGATCACTTTTTGTTTCAACAATTTCCCCAAAGTAACCTCTCAACTATTTTTTTTCATTTGTTCATTTTAAGGAACTTGATGATGATCCACCAAAAACTTTGGACTTCGAAAAATGGATCCTTCTTGTAATCTCGAAGTTGACTTCATCCATTGTATGCTTTTATCTTTGCATCAAAGCCATAGTGACATCTAGTTTCTTCTTGGTAAGACGATGGACAAAGACTACTGGAATAAACTACTTCAGGCCATCTTAAGTCTTCTTGTACACAATTCCTTGCTCAGGGTAGCTTGTTGCACCAAGGGACATTTCTTGGAAACCTTCAATGATTGCTGGCACATGCTTGAAAGGAGGAAAATCAAAATTGTTGGCAAGGAATGGATGTATTACAGCATCAATTTTTCCAAAATCACATACCAAGGCCTTCAAAAATTCAAAAGCCCTTTTGGAGGCAATTTTCATCTTGGTGTATTTTTGTGCCTTAAGTTGAAATACTCGAGCTATCCAAAAGATTTATTCGGGATTCATGAACACAAAATCAGCTTGATATCTGATATACTTATTTAATCTCTAGGTCAGGGTATACTGGAAAAATTCACATTTTATGAATTTCCTGACTTTATAGCTTTTTAGCCCATCAGCTCTATCCTTGGACCAGATATCCTCAAACTTTCAATCGTGCTTTGCATGAAAGAGATTTAGATGTTCAAACTCCATGGGGAGTCTTTGGGCATCAAAAATGTTGAGATCTATAGGTTGAAAGACTTGGAAAAACTTGTAATTTGACGAAATTGGAATATCCCAATACCCATATGATAGTGTTTCAGCATATGTTAGAATTTGTCTATAATTATCAAAGACTAATCAAATGTAGTGTCAAACCCTTATTCCTTCCAAATTTGTTCTTCAAATTTATGTGCTCTCTAGTTATGTTTCTTTTGGGTAGTGATTAGGAATTCATTAATATGATCTGAAGACCTTTAATCTTCCAAGTAAGGAGATGTTGATTTTTTAGGTCAACCCCGAGGAGCTGAATTTCTTGGAGATGGGCATGCAGTTGGTTCTTTGCTGAGCTTTGTGGTTCGAGGTTGCTCTAGAGGAGGAGTTTGAGAATTTTGAACTGCAGGGGTTTTGGATTTTCACGATTTAGATATCGAAGCAATTTCGATCCTTATCCCTCTGTTTGGATCACAATCACTTCCCCTTTTTGAGGAAGCAGGCTCCATCTGCTCCTCAAACCACTGCTTTAACCCATCGATTTGCTTAAATGTAGCAGTGAATTGTGTTTTCATCTGGGCACACAAATATTTGTTGTTGGGGATCTCAGGACTGAAGAGAAAGTTGATAAATCTCCTTTGTGAGGAGGAGAATGTCATCAACACTCTATTTGGTAGTGAATGGTCTTCACAATCCCTTGACTGTGTCTTGGAGAACGGCAAAACTTGACTCATATGCATTGTGGGTTTCCTCAACAAGCTTCTTTGAATTGCTTCAATTGAGATTGAAGGGTTTGTTGGAACTCAGTTCTTAGCTCTTTTACTTCCTTGATGTGGTATTTGGCATTGGTAAGAAATTCTTTGTGATCAGATGTCCGTTGATTCTCGATTTTCCTGATGCCCATTTCTATCCGCAGAAGAACCCTTTCTTGAGTCATTCTTTCTTTTGTCTCTAACACTTGAACACGATCAATGAGCAATTGCAGTGTTGGAACTTCAGTGCTCTGCGGGGTCTTGGAGGAGACTGCGGTGATAATTTGATCGACTCTGGCTTGAAGGTCTAGGAATTATTTTCTTCAAATGGCTATCTTCTTTTTCTTCTTCTATTTTCGTTTCAAAGTTCAATGTTCAGAACCACTTGATTCTTCATCATCGATAACCATAATGAAGTCTTCAGAAGGAGGAGGTTGCTTAACATCATCGAGATTATCATCATCAAGACCAAACATTGGAGCAGAATTGATCTCTATTGTTGTGACATCATCGTTGGAATCATGAGATTCATCGTGTTGGGGAGGCTTGGAATTACTAGCAACATTTTCCATCTCTTGAATCTTTTGAACAATATTATCCATTTCAAACATCTAATTCTAAATTGTGAGAATGTCATGGTCTATTTTTGCATTGTTGAACATGGTGCCCGATATTTGTCCACAAGATGAAGGGATTCTTCTTTTTGTTGTTGCTACTGAACCTGTTGATTTTTACTTGCCAATAGATCTCTTTTAAAAACTTTAAACCTATGTAGCCCAAATTCTATTGTTGGGAGATATCGGCACCAAGAGTCATCGTAAGCATAATCGTCAAATCATTTGCACAGCAAGGTGTACCTCGGTTTCAAGGATCCTTACATGTTGGTGCTCACCATGCCTAAATCGCTTGAATGTAATGTAGGCGGTATAGGATTTCCAAAGCTTTATTAGTCTCCTTGATTTAAAATCAAGTTTGGCCTTGGCTCAGTTCTAGAAAGGGCCACTAAAGAAGGGCCCTGCGGTACAATAGGTGTTTGATATGTATGTGTGACACAAATAAGTATGGACTGCAACTTCTTGGGAGAAAATACGTGTAGACATGCAGCCCTGGAGACCGTAGGGCAAGTAGTAATATCTGGATCCACTTGGGCTCCAGATCATGGTATGTATCCATTTTGAGAGTAAACTAATACACTTGTTGTATCAGAGTACTGAGTTGGGGCTCTTACAGGTGAGTTTGCGGTGACTCGAATGGCTGCCAGAGTCACTTGAGAGACTCCGACAAGTTCCTTGGGTTGCACTTGGCTATGGTTGGGTGTAAGCTTTAACTTTCTCCTCCCAAAAACATCTTGGAATTATGAAGGCTCATCTTCATTTTCATCAATGACATTAACAGGTGGGTCATGAACCTTGGAAGCAGAAAGTCGAGGTTGTAGGACTAGTCTCTGCGGTCTTAGTCTTTCTCTTCTTTGAAGGACCAACCTCCTTTGTAACAACATTTATAGGAGTTCTTCTTGATATTGAAAGGGATTTGACCCTTTTTTTGTTTTGGCTACAGGAGTTGGCCTTTGGTAAGCTGAATGGGCCTTGGCGGGGAAAATTGATATGGGGCAATATCACTCATAGCCATAATGTGATCAGCTACCTCAACCATAGTAAGTCCAATGGATTCAAGAATATACATTGGCA